ACATCTTCATCCGATATTACCGTTGTTGTTCACCATATATGTAATATCAGCCAAATTGAATAGTTTTTTTTTTCATATTCAATCGAATTGTACCATTTGGTGAAACTCGATAAATATTTTTTAATATAATCCTTATCAAAGCCATATCATAAAGCAATGTTATTTGGTTCAGAGTTGGTATGATCTACTTCACATAAATTCCCAATATAAATTTTTTTGTTACTAAAATACTAAATACGCACAATGGTGTAGGGAATCATATAAGCAGCCAGCCCGACTTTTGACCTTTCCTTACTGTTTTTATACCCTCCACCGTACTATGGAGGGTATATTAACTTTGTTTGTAGCTCTTCGAAATACTTATGTAAGACCCAATAAAGTATATAATCTTGGTCAGCGTAAAATTCCATGTCGATTTAGCGATGTCCGTCTGTCCGTCTATCTATCTGTCCGTCTGTCTTTAGTAATCACGCTATCTTTCGAACGAATCGAGATAGAAGGCTAAAATTTCGAAGACATGTTTATTTTGCCAGTAGGCAGATTTAGTTCGTAAATGGGCCATGTAGGGCCACGTATTCATATAGCCCATATATAAAGGTACCTCCAGATATTCGGATTTTGATGATTTTAGCGACATTATTCACCGGATTTGTTTCAAATTTGGTATTTGAAGTTCGTAATGGATACTACAGCCTATAACAGAAAATTATCTGTGCAGGTCCACGTCTTCGTATAGCCCCCATATAACGGTACCTCCCGATATTCGGTATTTTGATGATTTTAGCACATTATTCACAGGAATTGTTTCAAATTTGGTATTTGAAGTTCGTAATGGATACTACAGCCTATGACAGAAAATTGTCTATGCAGGTCCAGGACTTTGTATATGCCCCGCATATAACTGCCTTCCTATATTCGGTATTTTGACGATTTTATGTAAAATACTCACAGAAATTGTTTGAGATGTCGTATTTGAAGTTCGTAATGGATGCTTTAGGCTGTAACAGAAAATTGTCTATGCTAGTTCAGGTCTTTGTATAGCTCCGATGTAACGGTACCTATGCTCCCTATGTACGGTTTTGATGATTTTAGCTACATTATTCACCGTTTGTTTAAAGTTTCGAATTTAAATATGGTAATGGCTTATGACAACAATGTAGGTCCACGTCGTATCAACCCCAATATGACGGCTATATTCGGTATTTTTAAGATTTTAACCGAATTTGTAAAGATTTGTATTATTTGTTCAAATGGTGGAGGGTATTCAAAGTTCAGCCTGAACTTACTGCTTTTTAAATTGTTTTTTTTTTCTTCTTAAATTTTGTTCATGATCAATTTGATTTTTGAACACGTTCTTATGCCCTCAAAAAGTCATGAAAATGCCATGTGAATGCCTTAATTTCATAACCGCCCTTAAAAAACCTTTCAGAAGCAATGAAACTGTCATAAAAACTCGGAATTGTCCAATTTTGCGTCGTTTGTTCGTTTGAGGGATCCTTAAAAGTAGTGTGAATAAGAGGTTTAGATTGACGGGCGGACAGATGGATTAGCCTCTCGGTATCCAATGTCCGTGAAAATAAATTTTGATTTAGTTTTCAAAGACGCAAACAACCAAACTTTACTCGGAATTTATAAAGTTATTTTAGAAAATATTTATCACTAATAAGGGTAAAGGCTTTTTAGTTAATAAAAAACGTTCATTAGTCGATTTTCAAGATAATTTATTAGTTTTACTTCTTTTAGTCTCGCATGTAGCTATAAAATGTCTTAACATTATCTCCCGATCATGTCCTGTTATAAAACATCCAGGAACATTTACCTATATATTTTCGAAAAGTTAAAAAATCGGTAAATTTGAAATCTATATTTTTGAAACTTTTGAATAAAGATTTGGACATTTTAGGTATATTGTGTCTTCATATAGTGACTTCACCTAAAGGGGTCTTTTTCATCCTCTTTTTTTAAAGACGATTAAAATCTCCCTTCAAACGGGATCGTAGGCCGATATATTATTTATTATAAATTATTTATAATAATTCATTACATATCCTAATCGTACTATAGCACCTTAACTAAACGTCTATAAGTTACCTAAGGAATGAAATCTCTATTTCCCTTATCTATCAAGGAAATACTTAAGTCAATTTTGGCAAAAAATCTAAGTATTTTAATTTTGTTTTTCAGTTTTTCTAATAAAACAAGTAAGCAAAGGCTACAGTCGAGCGGGGCCGACCGTTGAATACCCTACAACACTATAATAAATGATACAGATTATATAGGCGAGATACTCGAAAGAATTCCACAAGATATTGTGACAAATAATAAAAGAAAACCGTCAGGTTTCGTTCTCTAATTTTCCAATAATAGCAACTTTAACTAATTTGCTCATTTCCAATTTATTGGTAGATGTTGCACGTAAATGGTTTTCCTAGATCTGGAATCAATATTTCCCAAAGTCCTATCTCCCAGAAGTGGCAAAAGATTAACATTTATTATTGGTTTTTGACTGAAACGCATCTATATGAGATACAGACATTTGAAGTCAGAAGTGCGTCTTTCCAGTATTTGTGAATTCTTCAAAAAGTCACTGGAATGGACATTTTCGTATTTTGTCTACAAAAGTTGGCAAACTATTTCACACATTGAATATTTTTCGATGGCCATCCAAAACTGCTTGGCTTTTGCAATGCCCGGTAACCCCCATTCAAATGTGCGTGAGGATCGGGCAATAATTACGACCTGCTGACAATTTTGCAGTTTTTTGGTCCATTTCAACCCCTAAATATATGGCGATCATCTCCAAAAAGAGTAGGCATCTATTCTGACCCTCATCTGATCCCCATGCAAAATTTCGTTAGGATCGGGCCATAAATGCGATCTGTATATGATATCCTGATATCCAAACTACTTAGTTTTGTTAGCTGTAGAAATATTACCAAATGTTTAATTCAAAATGAAAATATGCCAAAAATATGACAAAATTTGAAAAAATATGAGAAAATATTACAAAATCAATATTTTCATCTTTAGAGAGATATTTTTATGAGATTTTTTTAGAGGTTTTTTTCTTTCCTGCAAAGAGGCCATTCTGAATTAATGAGAACTGTCGAAATCAGTTCAGCCGTTCTCGACATATAAGAGTTCTTTTAAGCATATCTTCTTAGATAGACATATATATCGCACATATTTTGCTATATATCCGATTTGTTGGATGTTAACATCAATATAAAGGTCAGAAGTAACCTTGTCATGGCTTTGTGATTTCGCCGGGATTTAAAATATTCGCGGTTTAATAAAAAAATTTGAATTTTTCAACACAGAAGATATGCTCTATTTTACCCGCTTAATATTATCCGATGACCACCCAAATCGGTAGGCTTCTTCCCCGCGCTAAACTCTAGCTACATGCGAAGTTCCAAGTCGATTGGTCTATAATTGCGACCTGTATAGCTACTGCAAAATCCGACATTTTTTCAGTTTTTGGTCCATTTCGACCCCTATATATATATATAATATATTTTACCCGCTTAATATTATCCGATGACCACCCAAATCGGTAGGCTTCTTCCCCGCGCTAAACTCTAGCTACATGCGAAGTTCCAAGTCGATTGGTCTATAATTGCGACCTGTATAGCTACTGCAAAATCCGACATTTTTTCAGTTTTTGGTCCATTTCGACCCCTATATATTATGTGATCATCTCCAAAAGAAATAGGGTTCTATTCTGACCCTAGCCCCACCTCCATTCTAAATTTCGTGAAGATCGGGCCATAATTGCGACCTGTAAAGTGATTACAAATTAACATGGACAGACGGACAGACGGACGGACATACATAGCTAGATCGACTCAACTCGGCGAGATAGGAAGATTCATATATACTTTCCTATGTGAGAAATCAATATTTCGAGGTGTTACATAATTTTTGGCCCAATCAAACTTATAATACCCCCAACACATAGTGTTGTATGGTATAAAAATATGAGAAATCGTTTTGTGCAGAAGAAGAAATATTCTACACTAAATTTCATTATAGTTTCATAGTTTTTAACAAAACTACATGCTGTAAGCAAAAATTACATGTCTAATGCCTTTGGTGGTAATTAAACACATAAGCTAAAATCTCCTTCTGAACTTCATTTTTGAGAGAAAGAGCCAAAGAAAAAAATCTCTAGATTAAATTTTATTTTCGACATATTTGGCATTAGCTTCAAATGTTCTCATAATTTTACTCTCAATAATCAGTCTGGTTTCTGGAAAATTTCAAGTGGATTTGATAGAACTCGGTTTGTAGATCAAATCCACAGAAGACTTTCAGCTTCTTACACAAAAACTTTTTTAATTCTTACATTTCGATATATATTTCGCATTCTTAATATAGAGCATGGATTACAGATTTGGATTACATCAAGGATCGTGGAGTTATAAAATTTTTTTCAAAAAATATAACAATATATGACAACGTTTTGGTACAGCTCTGATTCTATTTATTGCTAGGGTTGTGGCCACATTTTCCAATCATTTTCGTTGACAATTCGTAAGATTAGTTTGGATTGCTACAATCCCGTTTAAAGAGAGATGACATGACTTGAAAAGGCACCAATAAGACCAAAGAGTATTATATTGTTGTCAGTAATATTGTTAATGACACTATGTACCTAAAATGCGAGTATTCCAAATCCGAAGATTTTAAGAAATGCCCCTTCAGTCTGGGTTACTTTGTGATGACGCTTTCATAATCTGATCGTTTTTTACTGTTATTATTTTTCTTGTTGCACAGTGTTATTTTATATCCCCTCTTTCAAAAAGGGACCTTAAGTCTAGACCAATATCAAAGATCCACAATTCCACATAAAAATTGTGAATTTGGGTCATAGATATTTTAATTTTTTTTTAACCTAAAATCCAATTTTCAACTGCCAAAATCAGTTCATCTTCTGAATCACATAAAAAATAATTATTAAAAATTAAATATAGTAAAATAAAAAAAATACTACTTACCATAACAATTGACATCCAACAAAACTAAAATTACTACAGCTAAACTTAACCACACTTTAAGAGCGAACGCCTTGCCATGGTATTGCCTTGGCGAACAGATGTCGAAGAACATATCGCGGTGTGTTGCAGTATTAGTGAGAGGGGGATTTGATGAAACACATTCGTGGCCAGAGCTTAAAATTACAAATTAATATTATCACTTTTATTTCGATTCACACTAGCATGGAAATGGATTTTTTATTTATTATTTAAATTAAACTTTTTCATTAAAAAAAAAACACACACACACAGGCTGGGGTCGTTGAATTTTCTTTGAAATACATATATATTTTTGGTATCACAACATTTTGAATCTGGAAGAAAAGAAACAAAAACAAAGAAAAGTGTTGAATAAATAAAGTCAATACATTTTAGAGAATTTTTTATGTTTTTAAACGAAAAAGTTCGTTTCTGAATGGCATAGCTTCTTTAGTGATTCATATCAGCCAAGAGGTATTGAAAGTGATAGTTGTTGCTGGATTGTGCCAAAATTTGGTTTGGGATTGTTGTCGTCGTTTAATTAATATTCTATGATAGTCACCGTACCGGAATTTGTAGATTAAGCGATGTTGCTGTTGTTGTTTTTTTTTTTTTTTTTCATTTAAAAGATTTAATAATACAAAATTAAATAATATAGAAAAATGTACGAACTGGTGTCTTTAGTTTAGAATGCTCGATTTAAGTGATGTGACGAAGGCAAGTGGAATGTGAGGTGACCGAAGTTTTACCGTGATACAGACCAAACAACGGGTAGTGTAAACTGAAAACAAATAAATTCAGCCCATCCCAAGTTATTTTAATTCAAAGTTAATAGTTTTTTTTACGTTGCGCCCAATGCAACATTATATGTCTCATTTGGTCCTGAGTTTTTGAAAAACCAGCAAGGAAAGGCCAAAAGTCGGGCGGGCCGACGATATGATACCCTAGCTCACGTAAGAAAAATTTTCATATTGGAAATTTATGTGAAGTAGATCATACTATCCCTATATTAAAAAAATATTTATTGAAACAATAAGTATGCCGGACCGAGTTTCACTAAATGCTAAAATTCAGTTGAATATAAAGAAATCTATTTAATTTGGGCTAATAATAAATATATGATGAACAATAGCCGTAAAATCGTATGAAGATCTAGATCTCGATAAAATTTGGCAGAGGTATTTTTGATATGCAACCGATTGTAGTGGAGTGCATATTACGCATGTGAGAGTATTTAACACCAAATCGAAAAAAACATATATATGGGAGCTAAAGCTATGTCTGAACCAGAGGGCTGCAATGAGTATGATTGAGTAGGCTTGATCACACACAGTGGAAATACAATCAAACTCAATCAGTCGGTCAGATGCAACATGTTCATTCGAGTTACTCAAGCCAAACGAAAAAGTTGTGATCAAACATGTATTGATCGAAGTTTTGTGATCGCAATCAAACAGCTCACATGAGTTATTTGTTTACGAACTTATGTTGAATTGTTCATAACGGGTCGATCATCTATGATGAGTCTGATCGGTTTTATTTATCGTAGTTAAGTGAGTGATTTGATTTGATTAAAACACAAATGTTCGAATTTGAGCGAAATCATGATTGTAATTTTACTAAGGATTTCATAACTAAAAGATGTCCCCATTAAAGAAATTGGTACAAATTATATTTAATAAGCATACAATTTTTCATTTTATTTGGGTTTTTGGTATGCTAGACTTCAGTAACTTATTTGAAAAAAATAAATAAATAAATAAAGAAACACATCATTGGTATTTAGAAAACTAAAAATGTTTAAATATTTTTTTATTTTACAATATTGGTCAAGATTATTCACAAACTTCGTCCTTTTCGTTTACCTACACCTGTGTAGTTTCTACTTGCAACAATTTCGGTCGCACTATCACAATATTCTTCCATTTCAAATATTAAAAAAGTCAAAATAAACTGTCCCAACTTGATTAAATGGTTGAATAAACAATGACGCTGAGCGAACTCGATTCAAAGAAGACAATCACGGTTGTGATTGCTCATTTACATTCATGTGTTCGATCAACTCATGTTGCTGAACACATCAAACCGTCTCGAACGCTCATGTTTGATTGTGAGTGAAGTGATTCAAACTGAGCGTTCGATTCGATCAGAAGCGAAAACGGTCATTTCATTCAGATCAAACTAAACGACTGCATCAACAATCATGTAAGAAACCGAGTATGCTTGAATTTTTGCATACTCTTTGCAGCCCTCTGGTCTGAACTGATTTTCACCAAATTTGAAGTACATGCTTCTATGTTGTATTTGGTCGGAAGTGCCACAATTCACTCCATTTGGGCTAATATTAGCCATTTATTGCACAAAATACCTGAAATCGGATAAAGATATATATGGGAGCTATATCCAAATCTGAACCGATCTTGTCAAAATTTGTAACACGTATTTCTGAGCTGTATCTGATATCTTGTACAAAGATTATCCAAATCGGATATTGGAGCTATAGCTATATGTGAACCAATTTTCACCAAATTTTAAGTACTTATTTCTAGAATCATTTCAGTCGTAATTGCCAAAATTCAGTCCATTTGGTGCACAATAAACCTGGTGTTGGATAAAGATATATATGGGAACTATACCCTAATCTTAACCGGTCTTGAGAAAATGTTAAACACTTACTTCTGAGCTATGATATCTAAAGATTATTTTTGTGAAGTGCAAGTCGGATAAAACATATCTATATTGGAGCTATATCTATATCTGAACTGATTTTCACCAAATTTGATACATTTACTTCTAGGCTCGAATCGGAAAACGATATACATGGGAGCTATATCCTAATCTGATCCGATCTCGATGATAGAGGTATTTTTGAGCTAAATAAGTTATGTTGTACCAAATATCATTCTTGTGGAGTCGGAATCGGATGAAACATACATATGGGAGCTATAGCTATATCTGAACCGATTATTTCCAAATTTTATGTACTTGCTTTTAGATTGAATTCGATCAGATGTGCCAAAAAATCAGGTAATTTGGACTGATATTGGTCATTTGGTGCACAATTAACCCGAAATCGGTTGAAACCATATATGGGAGCTATATCTAAATTTGGACCGATTCTCATCAATTTCAATAGAGTTCGTCTTTGGGCCAAACAAATATTTGGAAAATTTCATCTGAATCGGAAAATAAATGCAACCTGCATTTTGTTCACAAAAATACATGGACAGGCGGACGACTGACATGCATAATCACAAAGTCATTTATGAGGATCCTCAAAGGTAAGTATGAGTCGATCTCGCCTCCTTCTCTATGTTACAAACAAATGCACAAAGACATAATACCCTTAACACTACGTGGTGTAGGGTATAATTAAGATTTCGAGAGCCCTTTGAAAATGTATTTTCGAATTTAAAGATATAGCCATATTCAGTTGAAAAGGTTACCAATTTAAAAGGGAATCATTTGTCTGTCCACCTTTAAACTCCATCGGTACTTTCTTAGATGACGTCTAAAGTTGATCGTAGAGAAATGTTGTGCAACGGTCTTTCTTTGTCATCATGGTCTTTCTTTGTCATGGTGTACCCAAATTTTAGGAGGTTTTTGCCGGTTCTAAAGATAGTCTCGGGACAGGTTCCTGTCCCGGATAAGATGAGATACTTAAGGGTAGTATTTCGGGAGAGATTCGACCATATTCGTTACATAGGGCAAAATATCTGTATTTCGGAAAGAAAGGTTGTCTTTCCTACGTTTTCTTTCCCTATGATTTCCACGCCTGGTTCGGCATTTCGTCTCACCATATGGAAAGAATAAGCTTGTGGGAAAGAAAAATAATCTCCTTCTCCTCTTCCGTAGGGCAGATGGCTCTTATAGAGACCATTTCTGGAGGGGTCCATCAAGATAGGATACAAATAGGTAGGATAAACGTCTTTATGACGAAGAGTGGACTGACACTATTAGACAGAAGTCAATTCATAGATAATAGGATCATTAAGGGTATGTTAAGGTTCTTTGAGGATGCAGACCAGCTACGCCAAAGGTCTTCATTTCGCATACAGTCGAATATTGAGGATGAAGAGTGGTCTTTTCCACGATTTCTTTCCCTATGCCTTCCCCGTTTGGCATTTCGTCTCACCCGATGGAAAGGATAATGTTGTGGGAAAGAAAACTAATATCCTCCTCCCTGGGTCTCCTCCCTTTCGTATGGCAGATGACTCTAATCGAGACCATATCTGTAGATCGATCTAAGTAGGGTACAAATAGATAGGATACACGTCTTTATGACGAAGGCTGGCATTCTTAGACGGAAGCCAATTGATAGATAATTGAATCATTGAGGGTATGTTAAGGTGCCTGGAGGATGCGGACCAGTTACGAGCTCGGAAACATTTGCCACCAGCCACCCTTTCCCGTGTAAACGAACTGTTCTTGTTTCTGGGGCATAGGGAATTTATATTCTTTTAGATTTAATTCCCTACTTTAAGAGATTTGTAGCCTCGGATTTAAGTAGCCTGGTGTACAACAGCGCCCAGTGCAAGTCAGCGCTTCGCCGCGAAAGGGCTAAAATACCGCAAAGCAACATTCGGGCAGCATGTGACGGTTTCATTGGCCGTTTGAAGGCCATAATTCGTGCCAAAGGCGACCAATTCGAACAAATCTACACTTATTCCAAAATTTGATGCTATTTCCGACATTTTTTGCTCTCCTTCAATAAAATTTAAAAAAGATGTAAAAATTATGGCGTTTGACTTTGTTGCAGTTTTTTTTTTATCTCACCATGTATAGCCAGTTGTGTCCACAAACATGTTGTGGCACCTTTTTCTAAATGAAAAGTGGGCATTGAAAAAAAAAGTTTAGTTATAGAATAGTTAGGTTTGGGCCATTAAACAACTGGAGCCACAGGTTAAAACTGGAACTGAAACTGTCCACCTTTAATGTGCCACTCTAAAAATATCAAACTTTCAAAGTTAACTAATTTTTTTTAACTTGTCAAAAACATATCGTCTATTTTTTATTAAAACGTAATAATATAGACCTATTTTATAAGTGGCAAAGCCCACTCTATTTTGCCTGCTAATCTAAGTGAAAGGTTATGCTGATTGAAGTTTTTTTTAATCCACCATGAAATCAACATAATTATATTGAAGCCAACAATGTTGGATTCAGGAAATCGTAAATCCCCTATGGCTTCATTTGAAAGCACTTCAAATTGAAATCCGAAATTCCAACGCCCTCTTTTTTATTTAATTCCCAATTTATGCGTAGAATGTATACATGTATGTATATACGTAAATTGAAACACGCACAAAAACATATATATTTTATGTGAGCAAAA